AGGGGGCGCAAAGAACCGTGACAGACGGCAGGTCAGCGAGACGTCCGTCGATGCCTTCTCCGCAATGTGAACTTCCTTAGTAGATGATGATGAAAAGAGACTGACCAATTAGGTACAAATAAGAAACTATGGGGTTTTGATATGATGTTTATTGAGATGTTGTTAATTGAATTGGATAATTTGTTCGAATAAATGAAATAGTTTAGAAATAAAGTAAAAAATGAGTTAAAGAAGAAGAAGTACTATTTAATTTTTGAAAAGTTAATGATTGATTTGAATCATATAAAGAAGTCAATAAGATTTCTAAATCTAATGATGATTTTGATTTTGATTTAGAATTTGATAAATTTGAATTCGAATTCGAATTTGATAGTTTTGATCATTTAAAAAATCTGAGATGAACTGAATGATGATATCTCCAATACTATACTTTGCTTGATGAGATTAGATTTATTAAGAGTAGTTTGATTTTGATGGTTTGATGAATTTCTAAGATTACTAAACGAAGCTACTGCTAATAAAGTATGATGTGATTTAGTAAATAGTGATGGTTTGGAATTTGAATTGTTGGTTTAGTTGTGGTACTGTTGTTTCCATCTGAATTTGAATTTGAATCGATAGCGGTAGTAGTAGTAGTATGTAGTCGTGAATGGCTGTTTTGGTAGTGGCTGTTGTAGGTTTGTGAGATGAAGGATGGTGGCTTTGTTCAAACTTGTCCCGTCCCTCTCTGTCGCGAACACTCGGTCCTCAAGGAGTGTTTGCGAGGGAGAGGGCAAACTTAACTAAGTCCCAGTCAAACTTAACTAAGTCCCAGTCTGGACCCAAGTTCCATCAACTGGTTAGGTCCAGACTGGGACTTAGTTAAGTTGGGGCTTTGCTAATCTCCACTTTCAAGTGGTTACATGAATAAAAGTTCCTCGACAAAGGAGGGAGAATGAGGCTTCCTGTGTATGTACTTACAACTGTCTGTACAGACTGAGCGTTCAGGCAGGGCCTGAGATGACCTGAGCGGATCAGGTAGTCCTCCCTCAGGCTTCTTGGCTAAGCAATAAAACCTGAGGAAGCTTGGCTCACCTGCTCAGCTCTCAGCTCATGTTGATCATGTCTGATTACATGATCAACATGAGCTGAATGCACTCAGTTTTGGAAGGAAACCAGAAGAAATCTTGAATAAAACTTGAAGCTTTTCATGCTGACCTCTATGTGAGCTCTTGTTTTGGCCCCTGTGAACACACGTCCCTTCATTCGCTCAATTCGAATTCGAATTGATTTGGTTCCCCAACAGCCGCGGGTCCCGCTAAGTTTTTCACCGTGAGTCGATGACTGTCGATGACCTTTAAGCTGTCAATACATACTTAACCGCTGTGTACATTTCCTCTACACCCAAATTGATTTCGAATCAAATCAGCTCTTATCAGAACTCTTCCCAAGTGCCATCCAATCAATGTGTAATACATAAGTTCACATGTTCATTTGAACCATTGAGATGTGAACAACTTGACTCAATTTTCCCACAATGACTATTGAATTTCAAATAAGGCTCAAATGTAATTTAATTCGAATACAGTCAGAGCCGTACAAAATAGTACTATGAACACCGATTGATTCTGACGAGATTGATTAATTTTCAAGTCGGTCAAACGTCAAGTACATGAAATGTATGAAACCATGGAAGGATAGTAGAATTCGAATGCAACAGAGTAGCATATTGAATATAACTGAGGGTTCTTCAAAGAAAACAAAGAAATAGATGAGAAAACAGACTATCAAAGAATAGAAGTATAGCATAGCATTCAAAAGTATCAATGATAGATATTGGTATTTGAGTCATAAGTCAGAATTGCTATCTTCTTCGGTGCTGCTATCTTCTTCTTCGGTGCTGCTATCTTCTTCTTCAGTGCTGCTGTCTTCTTCTTCAGTGCTGCTATCATTGTCTTTGTCATTGTCTGCAGTGGCTTTGATTTTTCTCTTCTTTTTCTTTACCTCTTGATTTTGTACACTACCCTTAGCCAATGCTTGAAGCTTACGCTTCAAGCCTGAATTAGTTTGATTGGTGTTGGAAGACGCCTCAGGAGCAAGTGTTCTCGAGGTTGCTTGTTCGGGCTGTGATTCCGAATTGTGATTTGTGTTGATACGATCTCGAGTGAGCTGGTGAGTGAGCTCTTCAGTAAGTTGAACTTCATCGGTTGACTGAGATCCAGTGTTGTTGTTTTGATTCTGAGAAGTGGAACCATTATTAGTGGGGTGATTGGATGGTTGAATATTAGTGTTTTTCGTTTTGGTCGACTTTTTAGATTTTGGTCGGCGGGCAGGAATAGGTTCACGTTCGGATTCTGGGATAGACTCAAGCAGAAAATATCCCTCTTTGATATCTCTGAGCCATGACTTCACCGTTGAACTCCTTGCTAAACAATGACCTGCCTCAAGCTCGCTTTTTGATAAGTTACTCCCTGGCTTCTGTACAATACGAATCAGCAGATTCCCACTCTTTAGTTCACCTTCTGGGTCTTCACACTTTGGAAATGTGCCTTCCTTCATAAGAGCGCCTACCATTTACCATTGATACGAACATTAGTAATACATAGTGATGTGAATATTTCACAACATACTTACGGTATAAAATGTTGAGTTCCCTTCCAAGGCGAGTTTTCCGCTCATCGCTTGGTTGTTGGGGCTTGCTACCTTCAACTTTTTTCGCCGCCGACTGACCATGGATATAAGATGCCAAAGTCTGCGGGACTTTGACATCATCGCTCGATGCCCAAGTTGCAAACGAGGTGTTATTTGAAAACACCTGTGTCCATCCTTCTGTACTACCACAGCTAACACCGGCCAAGTAATACGTGATCTGGAATCGCTGGCATACTACAGCAAACTGAGGAATACAATAATGAATAAAAGAGATATAGGATCAGTGTTGAAAAACGCTTTGTAAACAGAGGATGTGATAGACTTACCGCATGGTGAGCCTTACACAGCTCAACCAGAGATCTCTTCTGTAGCGTGGCTACAGAGCTTGTAGGGCTTGGCTGTCCATGACATAAGTGTAATTTTTCAACATTGACAAGTTCATCAAATAACGGCTGGTATTTTTGACGTTCTTCATGAGTGAGTTGGTGAACTGGAGGAGCTGAGATTGAATCATCAAGGTGCTGAAGATTCACTTCGTCTTCATTTTCAATCGGTTCATCTTCAATTCCAGGTATGTTGGACAGATCTGGGAGGTTGGCCAACGCGAAGAAGAAAGGGTCTCAAAAGACATCTTTCTTCTCTTTGGTCAAGCCTTTCCATAGTTGAGCAACCTTTTTGTTTTGTTCGCCCCATCCCTCTGAGTCACCCGACTCCGGTACTTCGGAATGATCAACCACTCATCAATAATAACTTAGTACAGATGAATGATTCAGATACATACATTCAACTTCCAGTGCCAGCGGACAAAAAGCCAAAAAGCGAATCCAAGGATTTGCATGTCCCTTCCTGGCCCCTTCGCCCCTAAGAATCAAATAGAGAGAGAGAGATGGAACAGAATGGTAAGCACACTTACGGATAGATGATGATCATTCAGTGAGCAAAGGAAGATATGGCTTACACGAGATTCCATACTACAATTTCTGGAAGTCCACCCATCAAGGCCGCCATTAACATCCTCTTTTCATATTCCAAACGGATACCCTCCACTAATGTCTTAATCTCTTGCGGGGCTTTACTTCTCTTTGAATCTTGTTGAGCAATAGACTTTCGAAGATCGACAATAGTCCATTCATCCAAATGGTCTTCGAAGTTATGTAACTCGAGGCGAGGAAAGCGAGATTGAAAAGTGGTACGTGTGGTTGATTCCTTTTGAGTCGTTTCTTCTTTGTCTTCTTCGGCAAATTGCACATTTTGATTGTCATCTAAGTCATGATTTGAGTTGTTTTCATTGTTATCCTCATTTCTACGGCTTGATGATGAATTCTGACCATGATTCTTCTTTGATTTTGATTTTGTTTTGGACTTAGACTTTGACTTTCTGGTGGAGTTTGTTTTAGTTGTGACAGTAGAATTGGCGCCAGTGGAATCTGGATTACGGCGAGTGGTCACCATTGAGACTGTAAGTGAAGCAATACGGTGAAATAAGACTGTATAAGAGATGATGGGTGGTTGCGGTTGGAGAAGAGGATGGACTGGATCAATCAAACTTCTCCACACCTGCTTAATCCCATAATACAATACACATGACACGTGGAAGGGCCTTCCAACACGCAAAGTATCGTGTTTCCAAGCACCTTCCATTGAATCAAGTGACTTCATCCCTCAATGGCTCTATATCTCTATGGACCAATATCGTGAAAATATCAAAAATATTCAGGGATGGATATAAAATGAAATAAATGAAACATGTTTGACCCTCATTGAACCAATTTTGGAAAAGATATTTGTGTCTGATGCACGAGAAAATTGGCAATTGTGTAAATGCAGATTTCTAGACCACCATGATATATATGGAGGAGGAGGGTGTTAGAAGAGTGATCTTATATAAACAGGCTGAGTAGATTTTTTCTACAATTCTGGAAGGATAAGTATTTGGATAAGTGATGTTTCTGGGGCTATGGTGGCCTCAAAGATGCTCACTCATTATTGATTTCTCATTATTGATTTAAGACTTGCGGTCAGATAATGAGAATGCTTAAAAGAGAGTTGGACATACACTTTCTTGAGCCCTAAAATCATATCTATATCTTGATGGCCACATGGAAGATATGTTGATGATTTTGGGGATTCAAAATTTCACAATATGCTCATATCTCACTCAATTGTACTCAGAATGTGATGGTCAAATAATGAAACTTTCTTGAAATTTAATTTCATTTTCCATTTAAAAGTAACTTTCCTCAAAAAAATGACTCCTTGAACCACCTTTGGGCAATCCAATTTTTAACCCACATTTTTCTATGCCCATAGCTCAGTCAGTTTTGGTGTTATGGTTTCTGCTATTGTTCCAGTGGATTCCTGAAGAAAATCTATGGGGGGTTTATTAATGAAGTATGAGTCTAAAACTACTTTTAAATTTCACTAAAATTCAAGCACAAGAAAGCACATATTTGGCTTTTTTACAACTACTACACCAACATAACACCATTCAGCTGAATGAGATTTGGTGTAGCAACAATTGTTTTGTTAAGATTGACTTATGTATAAGTTTTCCAACATTTACTATCAACAAATAACTCTTCAGAACTAGTAGAGACCACCAGTTATGCAGCATTCTGTGGTTTTACTCAGGTTGGGGGTGAGGGTTTTACATTGACCTCAGACCAATAAAGTCAGTCAAGATGAGACTCTTTGTCAAAAGTCTAATAATTGACCCAAAATGAATTTATTTCATTGACATTTTTCATTAATGATATGTCATGTTGTGATCTTTTTTGAGTGAGCTGAAGAGCTTTTGTGATTGGAATCATGTCAAATTTTCACTAACCTCCATATCTTTTAGGATATCCATGTTTTAACCACACTGAAAATAACAACTTTTGTTTTTTTCTTACATAGTTGGATCATATAAAACAACACAGTGAATAACCATCACCTTCCTGCATGAACATCATTGTGGTATGGATTCACTCATTGACACACTTGTCTCCCAAACTGTCTTTGATCACATCTTATCATTTGACTTGTCTTTTCGGTTGATTTTCATGGCAAAAGCAAGAACTTAAACCAAATTGATAAACCTCATATTCAGCTCAATGATATTCATCCACGAGTTAGGTGTGTCATATTTACAAAGCATCATGTGGAAGAAATACCATGACGCTTTGGGAGATTACGCCCGTCACGACCAACCAATCGAGCTTTAAAGCTTAGGGCCCGTTCGGACACCGCGAGCAGATACTATCTGGCGAAATTTCACACCAAAAGTGTTACATAGCGCCAGATAGTATCTGGGTCCAAACTCCACCAGATCTTCGAAATCTGATTGGCGTTCGGTTCAAATATCTGAGGTCAGTATCTGATCATCAAGATCGAGATATTGATCCATATTGAGATACAGCCAATTGGCTGTATCTCGAGCCAATATGTCGATGTGCCCCTCCCTCAACCCCCATCTAACCATCACTTCTTTCTCCTTTTCTCATTACCCACGCACTCTTTTTCCTTTTTGATCCTCACACCTTTGCTTAGCCATCCTGATTCCTCGCAGCGAAGCAGTTCTTCAATCAACTTGTTTTCTGCTGTCTTCATGTCTTTCTTTTTGTTTTTTGTTTCTTGTTTGCTTCTGTTCTTTGTTTTTGTTTTGTTTCTTTTCTTTTCTTTTCGTTCTTTCCTTTCTTCTGTTCCTTTTCCTTTTTGTTTTTGTTTTTTGTTTCTATTCGCTTTGTCTCTTTTCTTTCTTTTTGTTTTTTGTTCGTTTCTTTATGTTAAATCTTCAAATCTGTTATCACTTTTGAAATCGATTGTTCAATTTGAACCATTTTGGTGCAATGTCAACACAAGAAGGAAAGTTTAGGATGCAAATGATGAAGGTCTGGATGACCGTTTCAAAAGATTGAGGCAAATGAAAATGCATGCAAGTTGATATGGCCGTTACCGAACAGCGATATGATCATCACGAGGTCAACAGATGTTGGTTGACCTCTTTTGGTTTGCTGTTTGGTAACTTCCATGTCCGAAATACGACAATGTCGATGTGCCCCTTGAGATAGGGGCAAATCGAAATTTTGTTTTCAGGTCAGATAATATCTGAAAACGATCCAAACGGGCCCTTAATACAAATGTAACTAGTATATACGTTTGACTCAATGAGTGGTTTTTTTCACTATCTGTTCTGAGAAAGTGCTAAGCTAAATGATGACAACCCCTGAATAAAAAGATTTTCCTCCCCTACTTTCAGATTAGTTCATTCAACCAACGTTCCTGAAATGGTGTTACTTGGTGTAGAAGTGCCATTACGAACAAAGCGAACAAAAAAGCCCACTACAATCGCCGGCATTGCTAGCCAACGATTTGCAGAACTACGTAGACGAGAAGATGAAGCATCCCGAAAAGCCCTTTTGGCTTTGAGTAATCCACCCCGCGATTCAACTCCTGGACACCCCAACAGGGACAGCTTTGACTTACCTGACAAACATGATATTGATAGATACAACAACCTTATGAGGGCTGATGGCAGTGATCCAGCTGCGTCTGGCGATGGGGAAGCGGCCCCTCAACCAAAGGATCGGACTCAATACTACCAAAGTGTTACGTATCAGGAACGTACACTCAGAGAAGAAGCTCATTGGCAAGCCGTTCTACCAAAGGTATTCATCGCTTACATGCCATGTAGCCGTTCAACTTACCAATGGTGTGATAAGGAGCTATGGAACAGTAACTTTAACACACCCTGTAACTGCAAGGAATGGCAAAAAAGAACAGTAGTAGTTGATACAATTGACTTGGAAGGTAAGATTTTTTGTGTTATATCTCGATCAAAATTCACAGTTATTGACCAACTTGAGCAATACAAACACAGGACGAGAGAAGCTTTCAGTAAAACTGTGTACTTGCACGTCGGACTTGGTTCGGCTGGTTCGTCTTGGTTACATGGGTTGCTCACCTATTCATCCAGGGACGGCTGTGTCGCTTCGCTTGCTCAGGTTCCACCATACATTGTGGAAGCATTCGAGTGTGCGATTAGCAGCATTTGTTGAAGCAATCAACGAATATCTCGATTGTCGAAGCCCCCTTTTGGTAATCCCAGGAACTAATCAGGTGAGCTATGTCTATCTCTCTCATCGGATCTCACCAAGTGTTACTTATATGTGAATGTCCATTTTTTCTACATAGCCACGAGATCTGCGCCGCTGCTTTTCGGCAGCGGTTGATGCATACAGAGAGATGCTACAAATGGAAGATGAGATGGGCTCATTGGCCTTGCGCATGAATCCTCTGGATGCTCTCGCCGCTACGTGTCCTTCATGTTTCGGTCCAAATGTAACCGGAAAGCGAAGGGAAGAGCCTGATCACATTATTTGCCTTGATGCAAACTTTCAACAAAGAAGACACCTAGCAGCGAGTGCTGCTTGGCGCGGCGATTCAGGTATCTTACCCTCACTTTTCATCTCACCCGCAACAGTGATGATGTGGAAAACGAAGATGGGGCCAACTGCTAGGAAGACCAGCACTGGTCAACCCAAAGACGATGTTGTGGTGAGTGTTCACGTGATATGGAGATTGATTGAATCGTGATTGAAACTACTGGTCCAAACAGGATCCTTGCAGTGCCCAACATACCGCAGCGAACAACACTCGAGGGCGCCAGACTTGGCGCGGCTGTGATGAGACTGGTTTAATGGGAATGGCATGTCGGCATGACATTCTACTGAAGTTTATCAACATTGTCCAGACCGGAGAACGGTGAGCAGCTTTTGTTGGATTTCACATCAATCTGTTATCTATATGTGAAGAACCCTATTGCCTAATCTTTGTAGGGGATACTACCCTCTGGCTATGCTTGACTGGATCTTGAGGACTACTACAAACGAGGGAGAAAAGCACCGATTTGGAGTCTTATATGACATAGGATGTAGTATGGAAAAAAGTATAATGAAGGTAAGTAATTGAGTCTGTAGGGAGAAAAATCTGACTAACATTCCTGATATCTGTCCTTGGTGGCCAGCGAAACCTCTTTGCTGATGAGCGAGGAGATGACAGATTGAAATTTGGGACAAGTGTTTTCCACTCTTATGTCCATCAGTGGTCTTGCCAGTTAAAATACAATCCCAGATTAAACAATGACTGGGGACTATCGGATGGCGAAGGGTTAGAACGTATCTGGTCCAGCTTGGCATCATTAGTCAGTGCTTTGAGATATTCAACAAAAGCACACCGGCTTTGTGCATTGAATTTGCGAACACGTCATACAAATGAGGCGAAGAGGAAGGATTCTAGTGGGTCATTCTATGCTGTG